AGCTTCATAAAGCTGCCATTCAGAAACCACTTGTATTCAGTCCACAGACACATAAACCTGGCGTAAGCACCAATCCTAGACAAAAATCAACATTGTTGATGATCATCTTTCACACTATTTCTTACAGATAGATAAGCTTGGATGTGGAGAAAGCCAAAGATGGCTTTAAACCATAATGTTGTCAAATGTTCGGCATATTGGAGGATCATTGATGTTATGGGCCGCCATCTCAAGGGAGTCATTATATCTGAGTTCAGTTTGAAGAACTGTATAAAGCCCAAGGAATATGAGCCCATGATGAGGGAATACAAATTCAAGGGTCAGTTCACCTTTCTGCACTCTTCTCAAAATCAATTCCCATGCCTTCGCATTCCCAATCTGCTGCTCTCTGTCCTGTTTGCACAAAGCTCTATGTGAACACCCACTCCCCCCTTCATTCTTGCTATATGGCTGGACAGGACAAACATTAGATGTGTCCCTCCAGTGGCAGCTTACAAAGCTCTGCTGGTGCTGCTACAGAGAGATTGCACATTTGCACATTGCTGGGTGCACTGCACATGAACATAGTTTGAATAAGTCAGCAATGACCCTGGGGAGTACTTGTAATGTTCAGCCCATCCTGCTGTTTAGCCAGGGTGGAACAGGGCTGACCACCTACAGCTTTTTGGAGACAGACTGAGCAGGACAGGGGTATGCAATGGGAAAGGGGCAGATTTTTTTAAATCTGAACAGTGCTTTGCAAAGTGCTGGGGGCAGGGGTGGACTGACCATTCAAGCACTCGAGCACTGCCCGAGGGCCTGGGGTCAGTAGGGGGCCCCATGAGATGCCCCTGGTACCTTTCATTGGCTTTTTTGGGTGTGGGTGAGTACATAGGGGCCCCATGATCCCCTATTGCCAGGGGGCCCCATGAGTTGTCAGTCCGCCCCTGGCTTGGGGTGATGAAAAGCATGGGGGATTTTTTGAGAAGAGTGCAGAAAGGTGAACTAACCCTTTAATTAAATCGTATCCTGGAATATGGGCACATCAAGAAGAAACATTGTTTTCACCATAATTAGCACCTTGCCATGACCTAGTAATCCTTGGCCTTTACGCAAAACTTCAAGCAGCCCCCTAGATATAAATGACTCTCTCCGACTTGGATGCCCGTACCAACACTGCTCCTCTGATATGCTTAACATTTTCTGACATTGTGGCTTAAAGTCACCCTTGACTTTCCCTATTTCCACGTTTGGCCAGCTGTAGGATATAGTCTGAAAGGTGACTGTGAGACTGTTATATTTTTATAGGATTGGTGCTTCTTACATCAGGGTCATGGGTCTGTGTGCTGGTCACTGGAAATAATGGTTTCTTGGATGGCAGCTTTGTGAAGCTCATGATTTGCAGCTCATGCTGAGACTATTACATGATGACTCAGATTTATGGCAATTTTGAAGACTATAATTTTGTAGCATTTAGTAACTCTTATTAAGTGTCCATTCTACCCGGTTTGTGAACTTGTAGCCACTATTCCTCCGTGCTGATACAGATTCACCACGTTAAGCTTATATTGTAATTTTTTTGTATATGGTTCCCTTCACACATTAAAAAGTGTTACAGTTTTACTGACCAGAACACCTGCGTCCAGGCTTTGACTATATGGAATTCTGCTGGTTCCTGTTGCCAACTGCAGACATCTTGTGCTACTGATACATACCACTAACTGGATGTCACCCCAATATAACTCATCTTTGCAGATATGGTTGTAATCCTGAGTGAGTTAATATAAATGTAAACTTCATGTGCAAACCCCTAACCCTTTCTACCAAAAAAGGTGTTTGCCATGAGATGATGCTGTGTCCACACTGGATTAATTTATCAGACCAACATACAAACTCAATAAGTACAATTACAATCACATTTCCAATTACATTGGAATAAAGAGTAAAATATAAGTGCATTATGAGATGTAAAGGGACTGCAGTTGAGTGCACTGAAATGTAAAATGAATGTAAAATTAAAAACAAATATCTAAAATCAATGTCCCGCACTGCAGGACCCTGAAATAGCCTGAAATTTTGTAATCAGCACCTACCCTGTGTTGAGACTACTCTTTAACCTCCCTAGCGGTCTGATCATGTCCATATTTCTGTGCTCAAAGCTGTACATTTTTTTTGCATGGAGATATGTCTTTTTTTAATTGTAGGCCTGTAATTCTTAGGAATAACTCACTGAAATCTGGCAGAACAAGAGTCTAGTAAACATCCCGGATATGATAAAATTTGAAACACGAAATCATAAATTGTAGTATAATAATCATAAAAAATTATATAATAATTATAAATTAATTCAATAATGTAATCAAACCAAAAACACTGAAATTTGAAATATTGCGGCAAGTTTGCACATCAGTGAGTTTAGTCGCAAAATCGTTTTCAGTGTCTGATGACAAATTTCCCCACGAATCATTATCACTCAATTCTGCAAGTGGTTCTGATTTACTATCGCTGTTCTCTAGCTGATCTAAAACCGCTTTTGACCTAAAGGGACGCTTTTTGGACGCCATGGACATTTCTCAGTTTCCAGGCAGAAAGAACAGTAAAAATGTAGGCAGGGCACAGGACAAAGCACTCGGGACACAATGTATGTGAAATGGTTTGATACTATGTGATTTTACTGTATTGAGTGAATGTCACTTTTACAATTTTTGAAGTTCGCAGGGAACGAAACCCGGAAGACGGATGCTGGCATCGGCTGGAGGAGATAGCAGGGGACGCTGCAGGGGGGATATCACAGGAGCGCAGGACAAGGTAAGTGATCAAGGGAATCCCTGAGCAACGCTGCAAGGTAATCCCAAGTGTAGCTCAGAGTTACCTGTTTTGGTACTGAACGTTTACCCTGAATATTTGAAGCACCAAGAAAAAGGGGGCTGTATAGCCAACATTGCTGCCGGCATGAACTGCCGCTATTTAGGAAGTAGATCAGATGCAATTTTGTTCTATTTTTGCATCTTCTATAGCTACTTATGTGGCTAACCTTCATCCAGAGTATATTTTTATTACCTTTAGAGAAGCCAAAATACTGAAGCAACAAAAAGGTTTCATGTGTAAGGCAGACTATACATTTTTTTTTTCATTCAACCAGCAGGGTGAACAAAAAAATAATGTGCCAATTGCTCCATCGACACACTCGAGGTGTATGTGGGAAATACCTCTGTGGTATCGTGTTCTCACAGTGGGGAGCCTTCACTGCTGTCAGAACACAATGATCAGTGTTGCCGGCTATAGCTGGCAGCGCTAATCGCTCAGAAAAAACACGACAAGGTGCTTGTACAGAAGTCGATAGACTTTTGTAAAACCAGAGTGCCCCTACATAGAATGATATTCAGCCAGGCTTTGCTGAATCGGCTGAATTTTTATCCATGTATGTCTGGCTTAAATTCACAAAAAGGATACAGGAATAACCCCACAAAAACTGCTTCAATTACCTGTAAGGATGTAGTTCCTGTGTCATTTTCATCCATAGAATGACTACTTTCAGCATCTGTCTCACACTCAGCCATTTGAAACGCTGTGGAGTAAAGCAAACATTTGGGGGGAAAAAAAAAAAATTATACAAAAATGTAAAATCCAATTGTACCAAGGTTCACAAAAGCACTACACTAGATTATGACTATAATACAGTCAGGGCCTGCACATAATGGTCAGTATACTGTAAGTAATGCTGGACATGACTTGCAAAGACTGGAGACATACTAGAGGAAACAATTGTCTGATACAGTGAACAAGCTACAGGTTTGGAGACATGCTGCACAAGGCAATCAGAGACTATAGGCATGGTATATGAGACTACTAGAGATCACAATTATTAATCCTTTACAGGTTAATGCTCCTACCAAAGACATCCAGGGGTCCAGGGTCAAGCAGCAAGTACCAAAGAGATGCACATTGTAGACCAGGGAGTGAGGCTAAGTTCACATCTGAGCGGGTGGTGCCGCTGCGGATCCGCACAAAAATCCATGTAGCCGCAACACCCGCACAGAGGAATGCGGGCCCGCAGGTGGGTGCCATTAATTCTAATGGCAAGCGGCCCACACTGGAAATCGCAACCATACTGGGAACCAAGGTTCCCGTGCTCTCTGCGTTTTCATGGGCACGGGAGTCCATTCAAATTAATGGACTCTCATGCCCGCGCAAAACCCGGACCGCAGGAATGCAGATATGAACCAGGGGGTTACACAATGTTGAAAAATGTACGTTTTTCATATATAATGTATGAAGTTTCTCATTTATCCAGGTCATGGTATAGCTAGTAGTAGTTAGCTACATTCAACTGGAATTGTTCTGAAATGTAGGAGACATTTTGAGGCATGTCCAATTCACTTTTTGAAGTTGAAGAACTTGCTTGGAGAAGCTACAAAATGTCTTCAATGTTACAGAACAAGACCAGTTGGCTAACTGATACTATTTTTTTATTTATTTATTTCAGTTACTTTATATAGCGCCATCAATTTACGCAGCACTTTACATACATATATTAAATTTGCATCGGTCCCTAACCCTCTAGGAGGGGAAAATAATAATTGGTGGAGAAATCCTTGTTGGCAAGCACAGAGGTAAGACGTTTCTTGTAGTTGGTTACCAGGTTTGTACACATCTCAGGAGGGATTTTGGTCCACTCTTCTTTACAGAGCTTTTCTAAATTCGTAAGGTTTCTTGGCTGTCACTTGGCAACTCGAAGTTTCAACTTCCTCCATAAATTTTCTATAGGATTAAAGGTCATATATGACCTTAGCCATTTGCCAACCGCACTATAGCCGAATGACAGCTACAGCGCGGTTGTCCAGTTCTGGGAGGGCGTCATATGACTCCCAGAACATATCCTCCCAGAACATGCCATCCCGTGCACCCCCGCGATCTCCGTGATCGCTCTGGCCTACGGACACAGCTGATCACGTGATGTGGTAAAAGGCCAATCACAGCTGCTTTTTACCAGGTGATCAGCTGTGTTCAATGACACAGCAGATCACCAGGTAAGTGCAGTTCCCGGTTATCGGCTGCACTTTCCTCGTGCTGTCACAACGTGAGGAAAGTACTGCCGATAACCGGCAATTGTCAAAAGACGGATCAGCACCGATCATCAGGGCACTGATGATCAGTGCCCAGCAGTGCCACCCACCTGTTCCTAGCAGTACCACCCATCTGTGCCCAGCAGTGACACCCATCAGTGCCCAGCAGTGCCGCCATTCAATGCTGTCAATCATTGCCACCCATCAGTGCCACCTATCAGTGTCCATTATTGTTGCATATCAGTGCAGCATCATCAGTGCCACCTCATCAGTGCAGCTTCATCAACGCACATCAGTGAAGGAGAAAAATTACCTGTTTGCAAAATGTTGTAATAGAAACAGAGAAAAACTTTTTTTTTTTAATTTTTTGCTCTTTTTTTTTATTTATAGTGCAAAAAATAGAACACCCAGCTGTGTAAATACCACCAAAAAAAGCTCTACTTGTGTGAAAAAAAAATTATAACAATTTCATATGGGTACAGTGTTGCATGACTGCACAATTGTCTTTCAAAGTGCGACAGCGCTGAAAGCTGAAAATTGGCCTGGGCAGGAAGAGGGTATAAGTCCCAGTAAGCAAGTGGTTAATGTGCTTCTTCTTGAGCAACTCCTTTGTTGCCTTGGTGTTATGTTTCGGGTCAGTGTTGGGCAGCACAGTGGCTAAATGGTTAGCACTTCCGCCTGGCAGCACTAGGGTCGTTGGTTCAAATCCCAGCCATGGCACCACCTGCCTGGAGTTTGCATATTCTCTCTGTGCCTGTGTGGGTTTCCTCCAGGTACTCTGGTTTCCTCCCACACTCCAAAGACATGTAGGTTAATTGGATCCTTTCTAAATTGGCCCTAGTATGTGTATGTATGAATGTAAGTTAGAGACCTTAGATTGTACACCCCTTGAGGGTTAGGGACTGATGTGAATGTATAATATATATGTAAAGCGCTGCATAAGTTGACAGCTGCTATATAAGTACCTGAAATAAATAAATAATTGTTATGCTGGAAGACCCATCCATAACCCCCTCTCAGTGTTTGGTCTGAGGGAAGAAGGTCCTCATCCAACATTTTACAATACATGGCCCCTTCCATCGTCCCCTCAATGCAGCAAAGTCGGCCTGTACCTGTAGCAGAAAAACAACCCCAAAGTTTGTTTCCACCTCCATGCCACTCTGTGGGAGCCAGGATTATTGTTGGTTGGTAGGGGATCAAATACTTATTTTACTCAGTGAACAGCAACTCAATTTATAACATTTATATCATGTGTCTTTTCTTGATTTTTGGTTGATATTCTGTCTCCATTTTAAAAAATTATTTAAAATACACTTATGATAAAAATTATAGACTCTTCCTTTGTTTGTAAGTGAGCAAACAAAATCTGCAGAGGATCAAATAATTATTTTCCCCACTGTATTAGGGCAAATTTAGGCAGGAGCTAATGAACCTACCAGCGGGTCTTTGGAGAGTGGAATGAAAAACTGAATACCCAAAAGGAAAGCCATACAAGGCACAGGGAGAACATGCAAACTCCAGGCAGGTTGTGCCGTGGTTAGGATTTGAACCGACAACCCTAGTGCTGCCAGGCAGAAGTGCTAACCATTTAGTACTAACATAATGTTACAAAATACATACTACTTATATTCTAATGTGTTTCAAATTCAGCATCCTTATCTTGTAATTAAGTGTACTGCCATCTCTTACAGAGTAACACAGCTAGAATGTACATATGTGACTTGAAGAGTCGCAGTACTAGCTTCCAACTGCATGTGGCATTGCAGACTAACTGAAATCACAATTCACTCAACAAGAGAAACTTTGAATGTATGTTCTGAAAATGAGTATTTACAAATGAAATTCTACTAGTGTATGGCCACCTTTACATCCCACCTACATTCTCGTGAGCTTTTGTTTTTCAGTACAGGCATATAAATGACCAGCAGCAGTCCCCAAATGCAACATTTCCCTCGGTGGGAAGTCTTGGTCGGAAAGGATATTTGAGTAACACTACATGGAATGCACTCTGTGTTCATTTGAAGGAAGCCAGTGCTTTGTAAAGTTCTAATCAGCCCCTAAACTCCTGTGTGTGGCCCACCGTGTCCAAGTCTGGGTACAACACTTGTTGGGCATCTGTCCCAGTATCTAGTCCTGGCTGGATGTGGTGAATATAGATTGGGGGGTTTGTTTGGAGGTGTAGTTAATAGCACTGCCACTGAGCTCCAAAACGGCTTTTAATTGAAGCTTCACCCTTCTGATCAGCCCTATTTTCGGAGACCTCTGGAGGTGTAGACAGAGATGCTTTCAGTATACCAACACCAAACAGGTTCTTATTGGCTGTAAATAAATAAAGTGCAGCGCTCAATAGATAATGAAGTAGAATGCTCCTTTGAAAATAAGTATACAGTTGCAAGAAAAAGTATGTGAACCCCTTGGGATTACGTGGAGTTTTGCATGAATTGGGCATAAAATGTGCTCTGAACGTCATCTAAGTCACAACAATAGAAGAACACAGTCTGCTGAACATAATACTACACAAACATTAGATGTTGCCATGGTTTAATTGCACATAACATGTAAACATTCACAGTGCAGGGAGGAAAAAGTATGTGAGGCCCTAGCTTAATGACTTCTCCCAGAGCTATTTGGAGCCAGGAGTGAGCCAACCTTGACTCCAATCAGTGTGATGATATTGGATGTGTTACTGACAGCTGTCCTGCCCTTAAAAAACACACACCTGTTTTGGGTTTACTGGTTTCAAGAAGCACTGTCTGATGTGAACCATGCCTCGCAGAAAAGAGCTCTCAGAAGACCTACGATCAAGAATTGTTGACTTGCATGAAGCTGGAAAGGGTTACAAAAGTATCTCCAAAAGCCTTGATGTTCATGTGTCCACGGTAAGACAGACTGTCTACAAATGGAGAAAGTTTAGCACTGTTGCTACTCTCCCTAGGCAAGGTGGTCCTGTAAAAATGACTGCAAGAGCACAGCGCAGAATGCTGCATGAGGTAAAGAAGAATCCCAGAGTGTCAGCTAAAGATCTACAGAAATCTCTGGCACATGCTAACATTTTTGTTGACACATCTACAATAAGGAAAACATTAAACAAGAATGGAGTACATGGGAGGACACCACGGAGGAAGCCATTGCTGTCCAAAAAGAATATTGCAGCACGTTTGAAGTTTGCAAAAGAGCACCTGGATGTTCCACAGCACTACTGGCAAAATATACTGTGGACAGATGAAACCAAGATTGAGTTGTTTGGGAAGAACACACAACACTATGTGTGAAGAAAAAAAGGCACAGCGCACCAACATCAAAACCTCATCCCCACTGTAAAACATGGCAGAGGGAGCATCATGGTTTGGGGCTGCTTTGCTGCCTCAGGGCCTGGACGGATTGTTGTCATTGATGGGAAAATGAATTCCAGAGTTTATCAAGACATTTTGCAGGAAACGTACCACCATCTGTCCGCCAACTGAAGCTCCGCAGAGGATGGGTGATGCAACAGGACAATGACCCAAAGCATACAAGTAATTCAACAAAACAATGGCTGCAACAGCACAGAATACACCTTCTGGAGTGGCCCAGTCAGAGTCCTGACCTCAACACGATTGAAATGCTGGGGCATGACCTTAAGAGAGCGATTCACACCAGACATCCCAAGAATATTGCTACACTGAAACAGTTTTGTGAAGAGGAGTGGTCCAAAATTACTCCAGATCGTTGTGCAGGTCTGATCTGCAACTACTGGAAATGTTTGGTTGAGGTTATTGGTGCCAAAGGAGGGTCAACCAGTTATTAAGTCCAAAGGTTCACATACTTTTTCCTCCCTCCACTGTGAATGTTTACATGTTATGTGCAATTAAACCATGGCAACATCTAATGTTTGTGTAGTATTATGTTCAGCAGACTGTGTTCTTCTATTGTTATGACTTAGATGACGTTCAGAGCACATTTTATGCCCAATTAATGCAAAACTCCACGTAATCCCAAGGGGTTCACATACTTTTTCTTGCAACTGTATCAATAGAGTTCAACAGTAGGCACCAGCTGTAGTTTCCTATGAAGCAGTTATCCCAATGGAATTGTGACTGAAATAGCAGAAGTGCGCACTCACCAGAAGCGCATGTAGGAATAATAATCCTAGGTAGTAATCTGTAATTAGCAGGTGGTGGGCAACCTTCTGAGATCTGGTCAGTCAGTCTGTGTTAGGTATGAGGTACTGCTGGGTCCAGAGGTTCCCTTAAGGGTGGATGGGCGCTCAGCCTGCATACAGGGCTCCCTCCTCTGGATACTGGATGACACAGGACTTGTTTGAAGTTACGGAGCCTTTTCGTACAAACTTTGTATGTGTAGTCTTCAATTAGGATAGGTTCACACCTATGTGTTTTGCAGTGTGTTTTCAGATCTTCAGATTCAAGCACTACAGTCCATTTACAGGATAACTTCACCTCCTTGATGCGACCCTCAAAGGGCCAAAACGCTTTTGTTATTTGAAGCCAGGAATCTTCACTGGTAATAGACACCTGCTCAGGTAGATGATATCCCCCTCACTAGGAACAGCCAGGTCCCCTCCAGTATAAAGCTGCCAGCCACCAATCTGGACTATTGCACTTTGAATTGTATATCCATAGTTAAGATTTTCCATGGTCTCCTCCTTGGTGACCACCTGTCCTCTTAATGAGGACACAGACAGCTTGAAAAAAAAAAAAAAAAAACTATTTGTATGGCCGAGATACAATCCAGCAGGGACCAACAGATTCAATACATCTATGGCCAGGCTGGTTGTACCCAGGTTGATCCAGCCAGTTAGATTTTTTTAACATGTGATTACTGCTGGTGGTTATAGCTGCCAGCAGTGATCACTGTTATCTGCCAGCAGGGAAGGCTCCCCGCCAACAGAACACAATAGTGCTACAGGAGAGATTTCACCCCCCCATCAACACAGACTGTGGTTGCAGGAAAGGATATTCTATGGATTGGCTAACAAACAGAAAATACAAATGTGCTGTATGAAACTCTGTACCACTCAGAATTTATTCAATAAAAAAATTTTCTTTTGTCACTTAGAATACATAAATAGGAGGACTGTAGTGTGACTATTCAGTCTTCAGTACACACACACAAAGCTAAAACCACAAAGTTTAAAATCATGCCATAAAAACCCCCAACCACATAGCTACCAGCCACAAACCAACATGTCATTACAGACTATCAATCAATTAGGGTGCCTAAAAAGGGCCCTAGGTTGCTCTGATCTGGGTCATTCAAAGTATTCTTGAACCATTGGCAAGGTGTTATAACATATTACAAATATAGCACTTTGCATTGTACAGTTTGTCTGCATTTATATACAGTACATATTCTTCCACTGTGCACCCATCACTGTATAATTACAGTTGTGACCAAAATTATTCAACCCCCACTGAAATTGAGTGTTTTTGGCCAGTTTTGACATTGCTTTTGATCATTTCAGTCATCTTGCTTACATTTACATTAAAGAGGCACTTGTAGGTCAGACAAATATAACATAACAGTTTATAAATGAAATAACCACAAATGTCTTTTCTGTGCTCACAGCATTATCAGTTTTATTCAACCCCCAAGTGACATTCAATCTTAGTACTTAGTACAGCATCCTTTTACAGTTATAACAGCTTTTAAACGTGAAGCATAGCTTGACACAAGTGTCTTGCAGCGATCTACGGGTATCTTCGCCCATTCTTCATGGGCAAAGGCCTCCAGTTCAGTCACATTCTTAGGCTTGCGCACTGCAACTGCTTTCTTTAAGTCCCACCAGAGGTTCTCAATCGGATTTAAGTCTGGTGACTGCGATGGCCACTCCAAAAAGCCTTTCCTCTGCAACCATGCTCTAGTGGACTTGGAGGTATGCTTGGGATCATTGTCCTGTTGAAAGGTCCAACGTCTCCCAAAGGTGTGTGACGGACTGCCCCAATCCAATATCTCCTGGTACTGAAGAGAATTCATGGTACCTTGCACACGCTGAAGCTTCCCTGTACCTGCAGAAGCAAAACAGCCCCAAAGCATGATTGACCCTCCACCATGCTTCACAGTAGGCAAGGTGTTCTTTTCATCATAGGCCTTGTTCTTCCTCCTCCAAACATAGCGTTGATCCATGGGCCAAACAGTTCTAATTTTTGTTTCATCAGTCCACAGAAACACTATCCCACAACTTTTGTGGTTTGTCCACATGGCTTTTGGCATACTGCAGTCGTTCTCTTCTTATTCTTTGGAGACAGCAAGGGGGTACGCCTGGGAGTTCTGGCACGGAGGCCTTCATTACGCAGTGTGCGTCTTATTGTCTGGGCTGAAACTTCTGTACCCACATCTGACAAATCTTTTCTCAGTTCCTCAGCAGTCACACGGGGACTTCTCTCTCCACTCTACGCTTCAGGTAGCGCACAGCAGTCGAAGTCAGCATCTTCTTTTGCACGACCAGGTAGCGTTTCAACAGTGCCCTTTGCCTTGAATTTGCGAATGATGCTTCCTAAGGTGTCTCTTGGTATGTTTAACATTTGCAATCTTCTTATAGCCATTGCCCTTCCTGTGAAGAGAAATCACCTCTTCTCTTGTCTTCCTGGACCATTCTCTTGCCTTCACCATGTTTGTAACCACACCAGTAAATGTCTAGAAGGAGCTGAGTATCACAGTCATTTTAAAGCTGCCTAATTGGTGCTTATTATGCTTGATTGCTGCTCGGTGACATCCACAGGTGTTTTCAATACCTGATGGAAAGCACCTGTATGAACCTCTGTTCTTCAGAGTGGTAGTCTTTAAGGGGTTGAATAATTGTGGCAATGAAGAAACCACATAAGAACCATTTACTACTGTATTACATAAACAATTGATGTCATTTTAGTTGCATTTGGGTAGTTACAACGTCCTTGTAGGATTTGATTCTGAATACAATTCCAAATGTACACTATAGTCCCTAAACCCCTTTACAGCATTGGGGGTTGAATAATTTTGGTCACAACTGTAATAATGACTAAACCACACGTTGAAGGATCCACAGCTATTATGGAAGGCATTTATCTTGATTGCACGCCTTGTGACCTGCTTGTGCTAGAGTGGCACCTAAGCACCATCACTATGCCTGGATACAACTGGCTCTGGACAGCGACTCAGGCACCTACTAAAATGCCAGTGGGCTAACATCAGCTGCAGGGAGAGCACAAGAAATACTGGCGACTAGTCCTTTGGCCTCTGCCTGCCTTTTTTGGGCACAGCTTTCAGAGTGTAGTTCCTCTTTAACCCATTTGCTGCCATAGACACAAGAACTATGTCTGCAGCCGAGCCAGCATGTATACAAACGCCTGTCTGCTATAGCAGCCAGGAGATTGTTTACATTTTTACTCCCAAGGTGCAGGTTTTCAAAGTAATTGAAGATGCTGCAGAGTTGCTCTATCGCTACATGCTCTGAAAACCTCTACAGGGCATCTATTGTAAAAAAATACATATTGTTTTGGGGAGTTTAAGTAATCTTCGGGTCTAAAATGTCATTAAAGGGTTAAGAGCCTGTCTTCATGGCCTTTTGTTTGCGTCAAGTGGGTTTTGCATTCCTACACAAGTCTATAGGAATGCAACATAGTCTATAGGACTACACAAGTCTATAGGAAGTCAAACGCAGATCGAAAAAAACAATTCTGTAGGTTAACTGAAAGTCAGATGTCACCCCTCAATAAATTCTTAGTGATCCCAGAACCATTTCTTAGGCGTTATCCATATGGGTGCAGAGACCCCTATACCGTGAACAGGACTTTTTTTTTTTTTTTTTTTTTGCAGTGTTTCTAGACCTCTTGTGCTGCATGTAGGCAGACCATTAAAATCTATAAGGATGCAACAGCAGCATGGGCACAGCCACCTGTCCTAATGTGACACGGTCTGAACTCAGGGCTGCTTACCCACATACCTGTCACATTAGGATGAGCAGCTGTGCCCATGCAGCCACTGCATCCTAATAGATTTCAACAGGCTGCTTACCCACAGCACCCGAAGTCTAGAAATGCTGCAAAAAACAGCCTGATCATGGTATATGGGGCTCAGCTCCAATGTGAACAAGACCAAAGCCAGTTAACACAGGCTCTAAGTCAATAAAGTATAAAGTCTTACAAGCTTTTATCATCAAATCAAAAGAAAAATTCTAGAATCAAATGATATATACTGCTGTGGACTGCCAAATAGAAATGCATTAAGTATAATTTTATTTTAAAGCTCAACTCTGGGAAGTCCACAAAAATTACTCTTGCAGTGGCACTTCTGTCCAAGGGTGGCTAGGTTGCTCCTCCATAGATACAGTGGAGTGAACGTAGCCACCTTAAGTCAAGAGGCGTGTTACTGACAAATCACCACATGAAACAAAAGGATTAAAAGCTTGGAAAAAAAAAAAAAAAACACCTAATGCAGCTACTGCATCCAATGAGTGGTGAGCTAAAACATATTACATTTTTTTGGGGGGTGTAGTTATGCGTCAAGGAGCATTTAAAGCTTACCTACATTCCCAAAATAGAGTTTTTCACTTTGCAATATATACACGTTTTACTCAATGCCATCCCTTGCCTCCACTCCTATCTAGGTGAGAAAGGCATGTCTTGCTTCAATTAAGGGTCAGTTGCAAGAACCCAGAAAAGACAGGCAGCTCCCAATGATGCAGAAAGAAAAGATGTGGCGGTGGGACCCAGCTGGTAGTAGCAGATAACAGGACAATGCTGCATTCGCTGGCAGGTAACCCCACCTAACATGTAAGAGAGGATGAAAGGGAAAAAACCAAGGGGGGCAGGTTTGAAGTTCCCCTCTATGGGCTTGTACACATTAGGGGTTTAGCTGCATTTTTACTGTCCCAACTGCTCCCCCTTCAGCTGCAGAGGCAGCAGCTGAGGGTGCACACATGATGGGGCACTTTGCTTTGTGGCAGGAATCTTTACCCCCGTCACTTTTAGCAGGCACTATGGTGTGTGAGCAATTCAAGTAAATGGGGCTACTATGCAACTGCCCTGCAGCTGTGTATAATGCACTCGGTTGTAGCTTGGTAGTGCTGAGATCAAGGGGTTAGAGTGGTGGTGAGAAGGTCACAGCCTGTCAAATGCTCCCTGAAGAGCGATCTGACTGCAGATAGCTCCAAAGAGACCAAAGCATTTTTAAATGACAAACATGTTATACTTACCTGCTGTGTGTAGTGGTTTTGCACAAAGCAGCCCAGATCCTCCTCTTCTCCAGTCGCCTGCTGATGTTCCTGGCCCCTCCCTCCTGTCGGGTGCTCCCACATCAAGCAGCTTGCTATGGGGGCACCCGAACGTGCTCACTCCCCAGCCACTGCTCCGTGTGTCCATTCACACATGGAGTCATGGCTTGGCCTCACCCTCTCTCTTCCCACTTGCTCACTGGCTGCGATTGACAAAATAGAATGAAGGTTAAAAACCTTCAGCCTTTACAATCACTTTAAGAGCCAGTTCACACGATAAGTCCTTATGCAAACTAGGCTCTGAAAAAAAAAACCCCACCACCTTTAGGAACATTTGACAATTTTTTCTGCCTTCAAAATGCCCTCTATGACAGCCTAGGTGTCCATGCACACATAGGTGTTTATAGGCAGAAAAAAAACCCCACTGCTAGTGCGTTCATTGCTGCAACTAAATGTGTATAAAGGTGCATTACCGTTAGGAGCATTAGCGCCTGAGCATTAATTCACTACAATGGTCAGAATAAATTAATATTCTGTCCAATGAAATTAATTTAAAGTGGAGCTCCACCCAAAAGGGGAAGCTCCGCTTAAAGGGCTGGTCCCCTGCTCTCTGTTAAGGATTGGCACCTTTGGGGAGCAGGTACCCACTCCCAGTTCCGCATCGATCGCCTAGGCCAGGGGTAGGCAACCTGCGGCTCTCTAGCTGTTGTGGAACTACATTTCCCATGAGGCACTGCAACATTACAAAACTGACAGTTACAGCTATCACTTGCAAAGGCATGATGGAACTTGTAGTCCAGCAACAGCTGGAGAGCCGCAGGTTGCCTACCCCTGGCCTATAGGAAGCAGAAGATGTCTTCTGGGACATGTGACATGTACTAGAAGACTATGGACCATTCACAAATGGCAGCGCTACTACCGCATGCGCAGTGGGCACCTGGGTGTGAAGCTTCAAGCTGTCAAGGCCAGGTGCCCACACAGAAGATGCCTGTGCCGGGAACACAGGGCAGCCAGTGAAAGGGGCTTCGGGGGGTGGGAACACCACGGGATCGAGGGACAGCTGTGTGTCCCTTTTTGAAAAAAAGTCAGCAGCTACAGTTGTTGTAGCTGCTGACATTTTTTTTAATTTGCACAGGAACTCTGCTTTAAGTGCTTGAACATGTCTAAACGCATTTACAAATGCAGCCTTAGACATGGTTTTGACGCTGCTTTTCTCTGACCAGAAGAAAGGTGTTCAGGAGAGCTGGAAAAACGCCCAGGGGTACATTTCCAGGCATATACCCCACACCACACATGAACATGATGCCTCTGATAGTCACACACTAACATGAATTGTTAACAGCATCCCAAATGCATCCTGTGAATGCAGCATGCTTGCAGCCACCAAACCACAGGGCATCGCAGAAGCATGCAGTGGTGCAGCGTGATTTGTAAACATAGCATCTTCACTCCTTTTTGTGCGTTCCCAGCAGGTTGAACTGAACAGGCTGTCAAACCTGAAATGTGCAAAAATGAACTTGTTCTAGTTGGAACCGGCCCTTATGCTGTGCACCTGTGTGTTGTGCCAGCTCACATGCATTGCACTAGGCCACCTCATTCATTTCAATAGGCTGCCTACAGCATGTAAAGGGCACTAAAGAATAAATGTCATTCTGGTATTGTTTCCATCTCCTTTCAATGTACAATTTCCCATGTACGATGTTGATCTACCAGCTGTCATCTGGATTAAAGGGAAGAGTAGTGCATGATGTCTATGTACCTCCAGAATGCCATAGTGATCAGTAGTGCAGAGGAGAATATGGCACACAATAAACATTCTACATGTTTACATGGCAGGATTATCAATAGAAGCCCCTTCCAGCCACCGTCCCCTGCCTCCCCCCTCCATCCAGCATTGTCATTGATCACCAGTGATCAGAGAACATTCAGGGCTCTCATCTGTGCCCCCTGATGACTAGATGGCAGGGCAGGCAGTCCTGTACACCCAGCACACCCAACCATCAATAGGCTGCCAGCACTGACAGCTCAGCTTCTGACTCTGTACAGACAATGTCGCCTGCACGGCCTGCCGAATTCCTCCACACCCCGCTCTAACCCCGGAACATTGTCCTAGACACAACGACATGAAATACTACCACATCCAATCCTACCGGGAGCTGTAATCTACCTCTTTTATAAGCAGAAAATTGGACCTGGCCGGAAGTACAGCAACAATGGTGGTGATGAGACGAGCGTTCCAAGCCTCGTCTTCAATCTGCCCAGGTATAGGGGTTGCGACAAGGAGCCCCGCAAGGGCTACTGGGGGCTGTAGTTCTTTATGGCACGCTAGTCTGTGGTAACGTGTTACAGCCTACCACACGCAGAGAACACGTTGTCCATTCCAAGCCTCGTTCTGGATAGCAGGATTTGCTGATAGCCAAGCCTCGTTCTGAATAGCTGGCTTCGTTGATAGCCAAGCCTCGTTCTGAATAGCTAGTTTACTTGATAGCCAAGCCTCGTTCTGAAGAGCTGCTACTTCCAAGTCTCTGTGGATTACAGGGTTTACAGACACCCAAGCCTCTTTTTGGTTGGCTGATCTCAGAGCAATTATTGTTTGGTCAGTGCTAATATTAATGGTCAATAGGAAAACACTTATTTCTTGTGTAGAATAAAAACCAACATAATATGAACTCCTAGGCAAGGACGGTACACAAATAAGCAGCCTCTCAGTGGCAGGGCTAGGGTTGCTACTTCATCCCTTTAAAACCGAACACATAATAATTACACAGGTTCTGTGGCTGATTAAAGTGGTCATTAAACTCAGTGCATTATCTGCATTAAATTGGCCTCAGAACCTGTGTTTAGTTTTAAATGGATGAGCTGGCAACCCTAGGCTGGGCCTTGACACCGAGAGGCCACATATTTTCGGACCCGATGTAAACAAACACTACAAGCTACCTGTGATTGGGAGCTTTCCAATCATGTGACCTTCGTGACAGCCAGGCTGTCCCTAAACCCGCCTCCCGCCAGTGCCAGGGGCTTAAAGGAGAAGGATGGCAAAATTTTTTGGGGCTGTGCTTCTGTGGATCACAGGAATGCAGTTTGTTCAGCACTCCCGTGACCCGTTTTCAGCCAACAGTAGGCTAAAATCCACTATTGGCTGATGTCACTCAGTCGTCCAGGCTCTGGAAAGATCCTGGCTTTGTAGTCGGGATCCATTGATAAACAAACATAGGGTTAATATTGTAAATGGGTTAAAAGACAGAGAAGACCTGGCAGAGTGAGTTCTCCTAGTCCCTTAAAACAGTCTTTGTCGACCAGGGTGCTTTCAGGTTTCTTCAGGGGTTCCTTGAAAAAATGCCTAAAAATTGCCCAAAAATTGTATACATGCCATCTGGTATACTCAAATGGACCTAGTACACCACTGCAGTCAGTTCCAGTTTTCATGTGAAGGAAAAAATGGTAGAACGTGCTGCATTATGCTCATGATGGGATCCATAGTGAGTACAACCAGAAAAGATAGGTAATCTCAACACATACTGATCTCTCTGCTTCTGCTCCCTCTATTCCTCTCAAAACACTGGAAAACGCTTTGCATGCATTTCTGATGATGAAAAAAGGCTCTGGACAGCATCTGGACATGGAACAGTTAAAAAACACTACTAAATTCAAATGCTTATAAATGCGGTTAACCGCTTTTACACACGTTTACAAGCATTTGGCGTTTGAAACGCCGGTAAAATCTACTCCTGAATGCACGTTTGGTGTGTTCAAAAAAAGACTGTAAACTCAACTGCCTGTAAACGACTGTAAACAACTATGTGTACATGGACACATAGGAAAACATTAAGGAGAGTTCAGGGGCTGCTGAAAAAAATGCATAAAAGCTCCTGAACGTTAGTTTATCAGCTGCAGTGTACATGAGCCCTAACTCTCCTGATGTGCAGTAAGCAATGAGAAATCATCTCTTTAGCAGGGGGGATGACTGACAACTCATGGGGCCCCCAGGCAATAGGGGATCATGGGGCCCCTGTGTCCTTGCCCAAACTCAAAAAAGCCTATGAAAAAGGTACCAGGGGCATCTCATGGGGTCCCCTACTGACCCCGGGCCCTCGGGCAGTGCCCGAGTTTCCAAATGGTCAGTCCGCCCCTACTCTTCAGATAAGATATTTACCAACATTTTTCAATGCATTTGCACATTTTTCAGTATGGCAGCTTAGTTACCATTGACTTATACTGCATCATCCCATGACTACAGCATTGTTGTGTGTATTGTAATTGCTTTAGGAATAGGCTGTGCACTTTGCAAGTGCAGTTTCTCCAGAGCTTAGTAAATGAGGGTAAGCTCTGCTGACTTCCATCATCCAATCATGTGCAAGAAAACATGTTCTTTTGGGGGTTTTTTTAATTTTCCTTGTATGTGCTTGGTTATTCTTTACAAAGTGAAGCTTCACCTCGTTTACTAAGCTCTGGAGCAACCACACTTGCAGAGTACAACTGCACTTGCAAAGGGCATAGTCTATTTGCCTTTAGTAAGTCAACCCCAATGTGTGGCATCTTTACAGTGCAAGAGAATTCCTTTCTATGTATATAAAAAAATGGAGCAAAATATCCCTCACAACCCAAAAACCTTCACTATAAAATGATAATAAAGTCCAAAGTAGTAAGATCTTCCACCATTATCCACATGCACCTCCAAATTATCCAAGTGTTCCATTGTCTCCATGCACCAATATCTTACTGATAACTGATCACCAGGTGATACTCATGCGTACACCTCCCATGAACAATATATGCTCGCCTCTAGACCAAACCCTGATGACTAATCATGGGTCACATGCGCTTGTGCCCCCTTCACGGGCTGCAAACAGGATAGCTCCAGATTCACTCCACCACAAGTGGCTCCCACTGTTCCATGGATCCTTCACTCACATAGGAAATGTTATTTCTTTCATGAAAGAAGAATAGGGACTGATAGTGCTCTCCATACAGTAAAAATATTTATTCAGTATTTAAAATGACACTCTCAAGTCAGTGCACACACAGTGCTATATACTGTGCATATCAAACACAGGCAGGTATCTGTCTCACCACCTCCACTGCTGATATCAAGCAGTCCACTGGCTATCCCCACTCCACTCCTATATGTGTTACGCCCAATCAACTGCCTTCCTCATTAGGGCCAGAGCAGTCCAGCAGGCAGTTCTTATATACTCTCCAAGCACAACAACCACCAGTGAACTGGAAGTGAGCCGTTGTAGACTTGTGTCAGAAAAGTACACTGCAAGGCCCCCATGTGAGCTGAAATGACACTGCAAAGGACGATCAAACTGAATCTAACCCCAGCACAAGAAATACAGCCCCACTTCCCACTCCCATAGACAAAATACAGTCATAAAATCTAAATCTCCAAACAAAAAAAACAAAAATAAACACTCCATCTCTCCAGCGACTTCACATAAGCCAGTACAGGCACAATATATTGCACATGAGCAGTAAACAATCACTTTTATACTCTAATCCTTAGTCATCCAAATTGTCAATCCTGCCACTTGAATGATAGAGCTGCACATTATTAAACACATAATAGGTTACACTATTACATAATAAAAACAAAAATATCATATTTTCCATATAAAATGAACATTCACTAAAAAGTCTTAACAGCAACGGAACCCCATCTACCCCTTATACGATCAAACAACAGGAACTGTCATGCATCACTGATTACACAGTTGAGGTTAAAATCAATATTTAAACCTCCCAGATATAAAACTTTGGTTTCATAAATCCAGTACGATTCACGATGACTCATCTGCCTAATATAGTGACCACCCCTTCAGTGTTTGGTATGCTCTATTATTATTATTATTATTATTATACAGTATTTATAAAGCGCCGATAGTTCGCTCAGCGTTGTACGTTACAAAGGGGGACAGAACATGTGACAGAACAATAACAATACAATGCAAAACATGAGGGGATTGAGGGCCCTGCTCTTTCGAGCTTACAACCTAGGAGGGAGGGGATGGTGGCACAGGAGGAGATAGCTGTGGGGAATGGAGTGGTAGGAAGAGTGGAGGAGGTCGGCAAGTTAGCAGGGGGTGGGGTAGGCTTCCCTGAAGAGATGGGTTTTCAGGGTGCGCCTAAAGGAGAGGAGAGTAGGTGATAATCTGATGGGTTGGGGCAAGGAGTTCCAGAGGATGGGTGACACCCTGGAGAAGTCCTGGAGGCGGGCATGGGAGGAGGAGACCAGGGAACTAGAGAGAAGGAGGTCTTGTGAGGAGCGGAGTGTGCGTGCTGGGTGGTACTTGGATATTAGATCGGTGATATAGTTCGGTTCAGTATGGTGGACGGCTTTGTACGTCAGTGTTAGGATTTTGAATTTGATCCGTTGCGCAATCGGAAGCCAGTGGAGGGATTGGCAGAGGGGGGTGGCGGAGATGGAGCGGTTGGAAAGGTGAATGAGTCTGGCTGCCGTATTCAGGATTGACTGAAGCGGGGATAGCCAGCGGCGAGGCAGGCCAGTAAGGAGGGAGTTGCAGTAATCGAGTCGTGATATGATGAGGGAGTGGATGAGCTGTTTAGTGGTTTCTGGGGTTAGGAACGTGCGTATTTTGGCGATGTTGCGGAGGTGGAGTCTGCACGAGCTTGTTAAAGATTGGACTTGGGGCTGGAAGGATAGGTTGGAGTCCAGAATGACACCAAGTACTCTGGTCTGCGGGGCGGGTTTGATGGTTGTGTTGTTGGACGTGATGGAGAAGTCAATGGGGGGTGGTGTCCAGGCTGGGGGGAAGACAAGAAACTCGGTCTTGGAGAGGTTCAATTTAAGGAAGTGGAGCGACATCCAGTCAGATATGTCGCTCAATAGGTGTGTGATTCGGGCAGAGACTGAGGGGGTGAGGTGGGGGGTTGAGAGATAGATTTGTGTGTCGTCGGCATAGAGGTGGTAGTTGAAGCCGTGAGAGTGTATGAGTTGGCCAAGGGAGGAGGTGTAGATGGAGAAGAGAAGGGGCCCGAGGATGGAGCCTTGAGGGACCCCAACAGAGAGGGGGAGTGAGGGGGAGGTGGTAGCATTATAGGTAACGCTGAAAGAGCATTGTGACAGGTAGGATGAGAGCCAGGAGAGAGCAGAATCTCTGAGGCCGAGGGAGTGTAGTTTTTTGAGGAGGAGGGGGTGGATGACTGTGTCGAAGGCTGCAGAGAGGTCAAGGAGTAGGAGCACTGAATAGTGGCCAATAGCTTTGGCCGTTAGCAGGTCGTTGGAGAGTTTGAGTAAGGCAGTTTTGGTGGAGTGTAGGGGACGGAAGCCGGACTGTAGGGGGTCGAGGAGGGGAAAGTGCCGGAGGAGAGGGAGAGATTAAAGATGTGGGTGAGGGAGCGTAGGATAGAGGGGGAGGGAGGTCGTAGGAGTTGTGAGTGGATAGGGTCGAGGGGGCAGGTGGTGAGGTGGGCATCAGAGAGGATCTGGGAGACTTCCTCGATGCTAGTAAGGTCAAAGGTGTGAAGTGTTGGGGGGGCTTCAGTATGAGGAATGAAGGGTGGGGTGGAAGTGGAGGTCAGAGCAGTGGTGGGGCCGTGGGAGAGAGGTGATGAGGGGGTAGCTGAGTGAGGGGGAACGGGGTTGGAGGGAGTTTGAGCAGCGACGAAGTCCGTGTGGGTTATGTCGAGGGAGAGGGGGGATGAGGGGGTAGCTGTGTGAGAGGGGACAGGTTGAGAGGGCGTGTGAGTTGCGGCGATGTCCTTGCGAATTGTGTCAATCTTGTTTTTGAAGTGATTGGCAATCTCAAGGGCAGTGAGTGAGGTGCTGGGTGGAGGTGGGGGGTGGCGAGAGTAGAGAGTTGAAGGTGGAGAAGAGTCGGTGAGGATTGGAGGAGAGGGCCTTGATGAGGGTCAGGAAGTAGGCTTGTTTGGCTGACATTTTTTTTCCTACTCATCTTTTCTGACTGTTTTTCACTAGTTTTGCATTTGGCTAGGGTCAGTGTCACTACTGGTAGCGTGAGGCCATACCTGGACCCTACAGAGGTTGCAAAGGCAGTCCAACTTCTCCAGAATAGCACATCAATATGTGCCATTGTCAGAAGGTTTGCTATGTATCCCAGCACAGTCTCAAGAGCATGGAGAAGATTCCAGGAGACAGGTAGTTACTCTAGAAGAGCTGGACAGGACCGTAGAAGGTCCTTAACCCATCAGCAGGACTGGTATCTGCTCTTTTGTGCAAGGAGGAACAGGATAAGCACTGCCAGAGGCCTACAAAATGACCTCCAGCAGGCCACTGGTGTGAATGTCTCTGACCAAACAATCAGAAACAGACATTGTGAGGGTGGCCTGAGGGCCTGACGTCCTCTAGTGGGTCCACTGGCGCCCTTCACTTTTCACAGATGAGAGCAGGTTCACCCTGAGCACATGTGACAGACGTGAAAGGGTCTGGAGAAGCCTTGGAGAATGTTTTGCTGCCTGTAACAACGTTCAGCATGACCGTTTTGGTGGTGGGTTAGTGATGGTCTGGGAAGGCCTATCCATGGAGGGACGCACAGACCTCAACAGTCTAGACAATGGCACCCTGACTGCCATTAGGTATCAGGATGAAATTCTTGGACCCACTGTCAGAAGAATCTATGCTGGTGCAGTGGGTCCTAGGTTCCTCCTGGTGCATGACAATGCCCGGCCTCATGTGGCGAGAGTATGCAGGCAGTTCCTGGAGGATGAAGGAATTGATACCATTGAATGGCCCCCACGCTCGCCTGACCTAAATCCATTACAAAACCTCTGGGATATCATGTTTGAGTCCATCGGACACCACCAGGTTGCACCTCAGTCTATCAGCTCAGTGATGTCCTGGTCCAGATCTGGGAGGAAATACTACAGGACACCATCCGTCGTCTTATTAGGAGCATGCCCTGACATTGTCAGGTATGCATACAAGCAAATGGGGGCCATACAAACTACTGAGTACCATTTTGAGTTGCTGCAATGAAATATCAGCAAAATGGACTAGCCTGCTGCATCTTTTTTCACTTTGATTTTCAGGATGTCATTGAATTCAGTCCTCTGTAGGTTGATAGTATTCATTTTCATCAAACAATGGGCATCCTTACATTCCTAAACACATTACCCAGTCCATATCAGTATAGATATCCAGCATGATATTTTTC